GGGTGAAAAGTGGTTTCAACAGCTATGCTGCGCTCATAACGCATGCGCAGTGAATAGGTTCGCATGCCCGGATTATAAAGTCGTGAGCAGGAGTAGTCTAATCTTGGTTGTGTACACAAACAAGTAAATAATCTACTAGTTACATAAAAAAGCAACATAAAACAAAAAACACCATGTTGATTGTCATAGACAAAACTCAATGTCTGTTATGTCTGCCTGTCTGCTAATAACACTACACAACTTCAATCATTGACCACTTTGAACTTAACACCTATCGGGCTTATACGCCATAAACAAAGAGCCGGCTGAACGTATGGGCAAATGAACCAGCCAATGAAAGACTTCGTTAGACTTGAGTGCATCCTCAAAGGGGGGTTAAAGGGTTATGGCCCGGGAAAGCGAAATCTGGACCAAACCTCCTCATTTAGGTGTCGCTTTCGCGGGAACGGTCAAGCTACAGTGAACACAGAATTTAGCGTTCCCTGGACTCTCAATACACAAGAAAAACAAAGAAATGTGAGTAGTCGTCTGATACCGTAGTTATGGTAGAAATTTAATAAATACGTTTAACATTAGCAAGCCATGGTGAAGCATACATATTATTTTCAAGCTTGGTGAATTATGACTGACGTTTTATTTTGATGAACATTAGTAGCAAGTTTAAACCAAACTGAAATCATTCACTTTTTAATATATACAGAGATAGGAATTCGTCCAGTCTCTTCGTAGAGCATTTAGAATGATGTACTCTTGCATAGTTTCAGGACAGATTTCATGAATAACCTGTGAACATTTTCTAAAATGTCTATATTTGAATGTCCCCACACTTCGCAAACCATATAACACGATTGGTAGGATCATGCAGTCAAAACATTTAAAACAAACAATCGAGAGGAATGTCGCGATTTCTAGCCTTTGAGGGGATAATAAATACGTCTTTTTATGCTTTTACGTCACATGGGCATTATTCCGAGACGAAATCAAGTCTGCATTCATAAACATTTTAAGTACAAAGTCCAAATGAGTTTTACTTTAAAACATATTTATTCATGACATTGTTATTTAAAAATAGAAAATGTCATAACACTTAATTTAAAGGCACTCAATTCGTTATTCGCATTACATAGTTACAATTTATGATACAGGTCAACTTCCCTCAGATAGTTAACAATGAGATGCCCGCTCACGCCTGAAAACAGATATCAGTGGTACATGAGTATAACAAAGGAGTACATACAAAATATACAACAAGATGACTTAATGATACATCAATTAAATTCTTTACAAAAAATCTTAAAATGAACTTGGATACATTTTAAGAGTAGATATTTTACATGGAAAAGGTTGACGAAACTTTGACAAATTCGGCCATGTAAGGTTCGTTTAAAGGTCACATGCAACGTAAAACACAACTTTGAAGATTCTGATACCTTTCGGTATGGACTTACCGAAACAAATCATCAAAAATGCAAATTCAACTTATAAAGTTGAAATATAACGCGATGAAAAACCGCGCGAAATCGTAGTTCAAACGATTCACTAACTTTCCCCAGCGCTTGGGGAATTGAAGTGGTTTCAACAGTTGGGCTGCGCTCATAGCACATGAGCAGGGAAATAGGTTCGCGGAGCTTGGAAGCGGGTTGTCCGGTGAATATTCGGTGAAGACTTTGGTGTGAGATATGTTTCTAATGTTTTGTTGATATTTCACAGGCGCGAGCTTTTTATATGTTACTACAGTAGATTACCGATTTAACTGTTTATATAATTTCATTTGTCTATCTTACCACACGTTCTTCTTACCGAGTCGCTTTCTCAGTTCGATACTTAAAAGCAATGTCATTATTTAGGTGTCGACAGAATTTCTAACTGTGATATAGATATGTCGTTGTCACAGACAACAAACTCAATGTCTGTTTTATTGGCACCTATGTGTCTGCCTGCCCGTCTGCTAATGACAATATTCAATACACAATTTCAATCACTGACCACATGCAATTTGAACTTAACACCTATCAGGCTATACACCATAAACAAAACGCATTGATTTATGGCCCGAGTTCGGTCTCTGTCACATTATGTAATTACACAGACAGGCAGGTGTGATACTTGTACACATGACATGTTATGATGTCTGTGGTTGCAAAATGTTTTACACAAAAAATGAGCATGTATTTACAAAACCCAACATCTCTATATATATACACACAATGAGCCGTGAAGGCATCTGCAAATGAACCAGCCGTTACACTTGAGTGCACACCCACCCGCTCTGACTGTCTGGTATCCCGGCTGCTTCGTTTCTTGGGAAGTAAACCGAAGTACACAATATTGCACTTTTGATTTGCGATTGTACGCTTATAATTTTGTTTTTATGTTTTTTCATAACCAGCAATGTATATTATATGTCATGAATAAGTGATAATTGTGTTTTAATTATGTTTGATTTTTTGGTTGCATGTGACCTTTAACAATGATACTAATTCGTTACATGAATTAATAAAACTATAGATAAGTAGGGTCTGAAACTTGAAACAACTGAAACTTCATCTCAGCTAAGCGGCTCACAGAACGAGTATTGGGGTCACGCGCTAATCTGAAGTACGGTAATCCGATGTTTTCATAGCAATTCGTTTTGCCGGCACTTCTAGCACAACTTTGGTTTTCGCTTTACCGGGCATAGGGAATATTGAAATTTTCGCTTTCCCGGGCCGACATCGGTTAAAAATACTGTAAACTGATTGTCCTCCCGAGAGGGTACGTAAGTCCCAAAACATTCAAAGTAAATTTAAACTCACCACTTTTTAATCGTAGAATATGTGTATTTATAATGTATGGCTAGATGTGTGTAAATTGTTAACAACTGAAGGGATGATGTACATCCTGCTATAGGGTCCATGCAGGAAGCAAATGTATTGTACGTCCCAAAGGGCCCCAGTATGGTGATCTACCTTCAGTTGTTGGCAATCTATACCCTGTTTTTATATTGTATTGTCATGTATAGTTAAAATGTTTTATATTTAGTTACTAGTTTTAAATTTCTAACTGTGATAATCTAGTTGTTTTACTGTCCTTCGTAGACAAGTTTTTTTATAATTTACCTTTCATTTATATAAAACTTGATTTAGTCACGATATGGCTGACATATTGCCAAAGTGACTTTACATTTTAACTCACTCACTCACTACACTTGAGTGCACACCCACCCGCTCTGACTGGGTTCGGTATCCGGGTGCTTCGTTTCGAGCGTAGTATACCCAAGTACAAAATAGTGTGTTTTTAATATCATAGGTGATACTGATAGTGTATGAAATAAGCCCAAAACCCAGCCAGACATCAGGGCTGGTAACTTCAAAATGTTACAAGCCCAAAATAGATTTAACCAGACCACACACCAAAATATGTATGAAACATGTAAAAGTTTTACCAGATCATCAGGCTGGCTAGATGTAAAATCTGGACCGTCCGTCAGAAATCTAGCCCGTCTCGCGCGGTCGAACGTGCATTATTTCATACACTTGGTATACATAAAGGTATTATACAATCGCAAAATTGTCCATGCTAAGACGCTTTCTTTCACACTCTGCTAAATGGTGTAATCAATCCTTTTATTCTGAATCTTCCAAAGATAGGTTATGGTAATATATTTGAGTATAGTTGTCAATATTTGAGAGATAAAATACTTCCTTTTATAAGAAATAATTACTACAAAGATGTCGTTTAGCGTGGTGGGACTTTAAATCTCAACTTGAATTAAACTCTGAAAAAGATAGTGATAATGAAATCCTTACTGAAAGTATATGGTATAATCAAAATATTATGGTAGAATGTAAAGGGTTTACTACAATGAATGGGTATGAACACGGGGTTCGCTGGATTAATGACTTGATTGATAATAATGGTAATTTCTTTCAATTTGAAACGTTTCTAAAACAATTTGACATAAAAACAAATTTTCTGAAATATCATGGTCTTATTTTCTCCGTTAAACAATATCTGCAAAAGATCAATACAGATTTAAAAATATAGTTGCAGGCAACGATGAGGTCTCCTTGGCTTTACTTTCTATCTATTGTATCTGAGGGCTAGATATTGTAGTACTAGATAACGGTACTGCAGATATTGTAATATTGCCGTTTCTCGGAATTTCTTATTGAGCAGTTGCTTTGTAAATTCGTCAAACCATTTACTCCCCATTATGTCACATTACACAGATCATTAGTGGCGTCGTAACAGTTGTTAGAACATAGGTTTGGTGTACACTGAAATTAGCGTTAAACAAATAACGTGAGCACTGACCTGGTTACTCGGTCAACATAAGTGCTTCAGTTTTCGTTCACGTAAACAACCTATTCTCATAGCTTATAACGCTTCGGGATGCAATGGAAAGAGGAAATGCTATGGCAACGGATCGTTTTCGAGAGGATTTGAAGTGGGTGAGTGGGTGAATCCGTGGGTGAGTGAGTAACTGAGTGGGTGAATAGATGAGTGGGTGAGTGAGTGGGTGAATGTGTGAGTGGGTGAATCAGAGTGAGTGGAGTGAGTTTAGTTTTACGCCGCACTCCAGCAATATTCAAGCTATATAGCGGCGGTCTGTAAATAATCGATTCTGGACCAGACAAGCCAGTGATCAACAGCATGAGCATCGACCTACGCACTTGGGAATCGATGACATGTATCAACCAAGTCAGCGAGCCTGACCACCCGATCCCGTTAGTCGCCTCTTACGACAAGACTGGGTTACTGAAGTGGGTGGGTGAGTGAGTGAGTGGGTTAGTGGGTAAAATTAGTGGTTGAGTGAGTGGATTAATCAGTGGGTGAGTGAGGGGGGAATGAATGGGTGGGTGAGTGGGTAAATCACTGTGTGAGTGAGTGAGTCATTGAGTGAGTGGGTGAACGGGTGATTGAGTAGGTGATCACCAGAAAATGGGCTTCATAAACTGTACCCATGTGGGCTTTGATGGGGGACATATTCACAAAAAGAGTATATGTTCACAGTGCAATATCGTAGCACAACGTAAGGTTCACCGGGAAATGTTTATAGGGAAATATTATCCAGTGAAACTACATTATGTGACGCCTTTTTTCAGAAACTGCATCTGTCAGTTTCTACTCACCACACTGGTGACTATGTTTCTGGATTTCACTGTGACCGTAGCACTATATGGGTGTGGTATGTATCTATCTTCGAAAACTGAAATATATTTTGAATCTGTGGTTAAGTTGCTTTTCGGTTTAATCTTTCGCACTGTTTAACAAGTGTATCTAGTAGGGGTGTCACGATACACCAATCTCACGATACGATACGTATCACGATTTTAAGGTCACGATACGATACGTATCGCGATACATAATTATCGCGCCTTTTCATAGCATTACCTTACCGGCAACGTACGCGCTCGCTGATTGGTCCATCAAAATAGTCTAGCCAATCACAAAAGCTGTTAGTTTCCAACTTATTTTTTAAGTAAAGCTAGCTACATCTATTTATCGGAGCCATCTGGTATAATTTTACTATCAAGACTTTGACAGAGATGGATATAGCATAAAAATTTGAATCGATAAAGTTTTAAAATAGGAATCGATACACGCAAGCATGTATCGCGTATCGTATCGTCAGTAAAAATGTATCGATGTATCGATACATTCGCGTATCGCAACACCCTAGTATCTAGTATTATCGAGTTCTGATTTTAATTACCTTTTCGTATACAGCACTAGCCTCCTTGACAACTGGATACCCACACACTGTTACACGTGTCGGCGACGATGTTATCATAACCATGAACCCAGCGAATGTCAGCTTCCCATATGACGTATTGGTGAATGATTCGGTAGCTGTGAGACTGTTACTGGTCCTGCCTAAGTCACACCGTGTAGTGGTACTCAACAGCAGTCACACCGGCTACACGACCAGGATGAGATACACCGGGGAGGACTCACTATCACAGACAGGACAGCTGAGGTTTACCATCTACAATGTTACTGTACAGGACGCTGGTACTTACTACTGTCAAGGAAGCAATAACCAGACAGTTACTGGATGTAGACAGGTCCTCGTTGTAGCACGTGAGTACTGACTGGGGTTAACAGAACTATGCATAAATATGTGAATGCGCCTAAACTAACATGTAATTAACCATATACAAATACATATGTGTGTGCGTGCGCATGCGTGTGCTTGTGCGCTAGTCGTCAAAGACAGTATTTTGCAGTTTAACATGGAAAGCCTACTCACTCACAGAATTGGTCTTCAGTAACCCATGCAACTAACGGGATCGGGTGGTCAGGCCAGCTGACTTGGTTGACACATGTCATCGTATCCCAATTGCGTAGATTGATGCTCATGATGCTGATCACTGGATTGTCTGGTCCAGACTGGATTATTTACAGACCGCCACCATATAGCTGGAATATTGGTCAGTGCGGCGTTAAACAACAATCCAACCAACCACTCACTCACTCACCAAGGAGGAAGTAGTTGTGTAGTAACTAGTAACAAACACAATTCGGAGTATTAGCGAGTCGCTGGTTTACATTATTGACAAAAACGGTAAATAGTTCATTAATAAAAATGTCAAAACATTTAGTAAAATCTTCTTTATTGATATTAGCATTATGGTCTCAATGGATTCATATCTTAATATTTGTTCACAGAGGAGCCAACCACACCTACCATCACCGGACCTGTCTCACCTGTATCAGGTGAGAATGTCACCCTGACATGCTCCTCCTCCTCCCGGAGTCTGCCCCCGGACCATCCCCCACTGACCATGACCTATATCTGGAGGAGGGACAGGACCCTGCTAGAATCTGGTGATGAGTCTCCTACAGGTGGAGATGACCTGACAATAACCCACATCAGCAGAGAGAACCATGGAGACATCTACAGCTGCCAGGCCGTGGAGGAGGGGCTGGAGTCTGACTGGAGTCACGGACATGTACTGGATGTTCTCTGTGAGTAAGAACTTACCTTGTTTACGGTATAAGACCCTCGTATATCTTATGTTTGAAACTAATACACGAATACCTAAGAAATTTGTCATTGTTATTCGCCTGGATATGTGTTTTAAATATGAGCAAAGGCGAGCACTGAGCACTCAAAACTAACAATACATATATAATTATATTGAATGGATCTGATGATACGGAGACGAATGCATCAGTGTATGTTTATGTCTCGCAATTCGAGCGTCAAAAATGCATATTTTAGAGAATGTAAATGCACGGTGATACACAAAGGTCAACACAAGGTTATCTAAAATATTACGAAAAAACGGACTCACCAACAACCACGCGTGCCAAAGTTTCAGGATATTTCAAATAAACATTGCTGAGCGGTGGTCGTTTACTAAACCAAAGGGGTTTTAACTGGTTACCTTAGAACTAATATATAAGTGTCGATGTTGTTTTAACGTGATAGCAGTATCCATATAAGGAACTGATAAGGACACGCTGTTTTCAAAACTTTTTTAAAGAGTAATATACTGATGGCTTCCTGGAATACATACGACACTTGTTGATATTCCAGGTGAAAAAAGTGTAAATTTAGAGTATATTCTACTTAGGATTGTAATGTACATAGGCGTTAAAACAAGACAAAACTTTCTTCTCTCATTAACTTTTCTTTTCATTTACCTTCTGAGGGTACCTAGGTGGTCTATTATAAATCTTCCCCGACGCGACACACAATACGACCTGAAAGAAGACCTGAACTGTCACTGAATATGTGACGCCAATGACACCTACCGGAAGTAATGACTCCGTGTCCTTTGTTCGACGTTTGTATGTAACTTGGCGGCGTTCAGCTGGCACTGACACAATACATTTCAACGTTCAGTTTATTACTCAAGGTTCAACTATTGCCTTATGGTCAATTGGACGTCTTACCTGGCTTTGTATTAATTAACCGTAATTATTCAAAGTCATTATTCTGGCGTAAGATGGGTTGACTGTGATGATCAATGTTGCAGTTGATGCAGCTATCATTCCAACTGCGTATAACTTCAGTATTGAATCATATCGTGTTCCTTTAACATTGACGCCAAATGATCGGGGAAGTTACATGTGTTTCCCCTCACTATCCCCAAGGTCATCCCTGCACCCACCCACCTCCACCACTTTGTACATCACAGAAACACAGATGCAACATAAAATGAAGCATACAAATTTATGGATGACAACTTCTTATTTAATGCATAGAGCGACTATTCGAGGTATATCCTTACACCGTTATCAAGATAAAAGTAACCTGTTACTTTCAAACAATCAGATGCAACTTGCTATTTACACATGTGTATTGGGCAGTATTCAGAATCAGTAGGATCAACTAATGCATGTAGTACATCTTCCGTTGTTTGCTTGTGTTACAACGTAGAAGTACTGACCATAGCTCTTTGTGCCTTCCAGATGGACCTGACCAGATACAGTTTGACGGCACAAGTGACAAGCTGGAGGTAGAAGAAGGGAAACCTGTAACATTGAGATGTTCTGCTGACTGTAACCCTGCCTGTACTGTAACCTAGTGGGACATCTCCAGACAGACGGTGATTACAGGACAGGGGGAGGCTGTGTTGTCTATACCAGCTGTAGATGTATCTGTGTCTGGACTGTACACATGTCACGTCAACAACACACATGGGGGTGCATCACGGAACCTGACGTTAGACATACAATGTAAATTCATATTACATGCTCACATTGGGGGCGGTGGGGTAACACAGTGGTTAAAACGTTCACTCGAGACGTTGAAGACCCCGGTTCGATTCCCCACATGGATACAATGTGTCAAGCCCATTTCTGGTGTGCCCCATGATGTTGTTGGAATATTGCTAAAAGCGGGGTAAAACCCAACTCACTACACCCTCGCCATGAACATTGCACTTCAACAACAGAGTGAAAGGAAAGCCTTATGAGTAAATGAGTCACGGGCATCCTCAATGCAGTACAAAAATAATTATCTTTTTCCATACAACATTAAAGATTATAACGCTGCTTACAAATAATGGCATTTCAACACATCGTTGTCAAACTTTGATGTACTGAACGTACAGTTGTCTCCCTTTAATTTTCATTCATTGTGTCGAACCTCAGATAACTCGAAGTATTTACGTAGATTCCTTCAAATACAACGATGTTTGACTGTATATCTGATACCGTGTACCCATCACTAGTTACAGATGACGGACCCCAAGTATCCCTCGTCATGTATGCAGCGCCCTCTGCTCTCCTGGTCCTGGCTGTGTCTCTCCTTGTCTGTGTGATACGTAGATGCCGAAGACGGAGAGGTAAGCTGGTTGCACTGGAGGAAGCTGCAAAGTTACGGGGCATGGGCTGATCCAGGAATTTTGAAAGGAAGGGGTTCCCGACCCCCCAATGGCTCCGCCAACGCAAAAAAAAATCTTCAATTTGATCTTTAGTCAAAGGGGGGGGGGGACCCCCCAAACCCCTACCCCCACCCCAAACCCTGGATCCGCCAGTGCAGCGAACGGTTGATTCGTTGGTTGGTTGGTTGGTTGGTTGGTTGTTTAACGCCGCACTCAGCGACATATTCCAGCCATATGGCGGCGGTCTGTAAATAGTCGAGTCTGGACCAGAAAATCCAGGGATCAACAACATGAGCATCGATCTACGCAATCGGGATACGATGACATGTGTCAACCAATACAGCGAGCCTGACCATCCGCTCCCGTTAGTCGCCTTTTACGACAAGCATGGGTTGTTGAAGATCAGTTCTAACCCGGATCTTCACAGGTGTGTACGTTTGAGGATGACGTTATCATAGAAATGCGTGAATAGAAGTCGTACTTGATGACTGTACATATTGGACTTTGTATCACTGTGTAACAATCGGTAATGGTCTCGTTTCTTTTGCTTTTTCAGAACTTCGGAAATTAAGGTAAATATACACTCATTAAAACAGAGTAAACCAAATGTACTTCTTTTTAGGGTCATCTGTTCATTCTTAAAAACATACGTCTAGACAATGTATATTTCTAATTGGTTAAACATGTTTCATAACTATAAAACATATTGATGGATATTCGGCTTAGAATGTTTTAAAACGCACCGACATTTACTGAAACTATTCGCTGGATGAGGAAGTACTTCTTTCCGGAAGTTGGTTCTGAATAACCATAAAACACTAACTCGCAAAATACAACTGTATTTTAAAACAAGGAAGCATTTGCGTATATACAGTGTCAGTGTGGCGCAGCACACCTCGTTATAGCGCGAGTAAAAAATAATCCGACGATATTACTTCTACTTAATATTTCTATTTACTTATGCATTTGTCATCTCCAGGTATGCTGCCTACCTGACCGTACTGAACAACAGAGTGTCGTTTGTCAGCAGTGAGTCCCCCTACGCTAGAGTCCATGACGAGGGTGTCAGCTTGTCCCACTCCGGCATGAGGTATCGTGGATCTATTCCTACCCTGACACTTGATTATTTACCTGCACTAAACATGAAGAATGTCTCGTTTTCATCTTTCGCAAAATCGATAATGAAGCTAAAACGGGGTTTGAATAACTTAACCATTGACCCTTGACATTCAAAGAAACCGAAGTATTGCTACGAAAAAAACACATCAGAGCAATTATTCAAGAAAAAGTACCATGCTAAAGTTAGTTCAAATAGATAAGACTGATCGTTACAATGTCAATGTCAAGTTTGGTAGGAGCGTGGTAGGCGCCAGTTTTGTTGTTGTTGTTTTGTGTTTGCTTCTTGTTGTTGGGGTTGTTTTTGGTTTTTTTTTTTGGGGTTTGGGTTTTGGGGGGGGTCCATATTTTACGGAGGTATATAAGTTGATACTTTAATGTTAACCCCATTTCAATATGGTTTGAGAAATAAGTTAGATATAGAGAATTCCCCATGTCTTGTATGATTCATATTCTATTACCAATACTTGGCATTTCTTTTATTAAAACAAAAGGCATGCCACCTACCTTCAAGGAGTGGCCAACAGAGAATCTGCCACCACCGAACGCCACTATGACACCACCGAACGCCACTTTGACACCACCGAGCACCACTATTACACCGCCGTATGCAACTATGACACCAACGGACGCCACTATGCTGCAATCAATGACGAAGATGTCCTCTAGTCTGAGTCAGTCCACGGGTCTAAATTCTATTGTTGACTACGAATCTGTCCAGTAGGATTTACACTTCCACAGTTCTGTATCCTGTAGGCCTACATATGTCATCGCTCACCACTGATGTTGATTTCTTTCAGATTTTTTATACATTTTCGCTCAATGTTTTTTCTCCGATATTTTTCGATAATAGATCGATAATATGTTAACGATGATCGATCTCCGTGATCAAAATCGATAGCCAGCCCTAGTGGATGCAGTGATCAGATGACTACGAGCCAGATGAACACCTCCTTTCTACACTTCTGCTCACAGATGAAACATTGTACATAACTATTTCTTCAACTGTTTGTTGTTTGCAATGCCTGATCTATGGCTGCCAGTTCTGCTGTGAAGACATTGGAGTTTGCTGGGAGATTATAGGATTGTTTTAGGCTTTTTGGGGGTATGTAGATACCAAAACCAGCATTACCATTTCGGTTCATGAATCCGTCAGTATAGATGTGAAGATTATCTTGTGGGTTGTAATTTTGTTGTATGGATTCTTGCACTGTGGATTTATTAAGTTTATTGTGTTCAGTAAGTTTTGTGTTGGTCAGGATGTTTGGCAGTAATGCTGGAGGAAGAGATTTGCAGCATGGGTTTGTATTATATTCTGTAGTGTATAAATCAAGTTGTTGATTAATTTCCTGTATTTTTTGTCAAAAGGTTTTGGGTATTTGCCTTTGTTGATAATGATTTTATTTTTATTTTTAAGAGATGTATAGCGGTTTCCAGTCTTGTTTGTAATTGGGTTGTTAATGGATCGAGTTACATATTTCATTGTACAACTTTCCCATTCGAGAGTGAGTACTCGTTCCCCGCATTCTACCAATAGTGCTTGGAGGGATGTTCCTGGCAAGGCTCCAGTTATACATTTGAGTGCTTGGAATTGGATGGAACTAAGTTTGTTTTTATGTGTTTGTGCCATATCTTAAAATATTTCGTAGCCATAGAGTAATGTAGGTTTGATGAGTGCTTTATATAGTGGTATAATATATATATAGTAATGTTCGTTTGTTGCTACCCCATTTACTCAGTGATATGTATTAAATAATATTGAGATCGGACTTGCATTTTCCTTGTATGAATTGAATGTGTTTGTTCCATGTTAAGTGCTGGTCAAGGATTAGACCTAGAAATTTTACTGTATCTGATTGCGGTAATGTTTGTTTGTTAATATAAAGATATACGTTTTGTTTTCTTCGATGTTGTGCTTTGAATACTACAGTTGTTGTTTTAGTGGTAGATAGTTGGATAGTTGCAGTTTTCAATATGGTTAAGTGCAGCTTGAATGTATTTTTGTGCTTTGTGTATATTTTTGTCATTAACCCACATTGCTCCAACATCGGCAAACTGGGATTTGTTTATGTTTTTACTGAGTTTGTTGGATATATCATCAACCATAACACTGAAGAGAGTGGGTGAGATGATACTTCCCTGGGGTGTGCCATTTTCTGGTGTTTAGTATTCGGAGATTTGATGGTCTATGGAGACCTTAAAGTCTCTGTCTGTGAGAAAGGCTGATACAAAATTTAGAAGTGCCCCTTTTAAACCCCTTTTTTTGGTTTTAAATGTTTGAATGACACCCGGTCTCAAGAGCTTATCAAAAGCCTTGGAGAAATACAAAAAGACTGCAAGTTTTGATTTTTTTCGTATTTTGTGCAGTTCTGATTGAGTTATGGATTTGTGCCAGATGATCTGTGGTGGAGCGATTTTTGTGAAAGCCTGATTGAGCTGTATTATATAGATTTTGTGTTTGAAGATATACTGTAAGGCGGTTGTTAACCATACGCTCTGTGGTTTTGCATATGTTAGATGTTAGAGATATTGGCCGATATGATTCGGCTTTGTTTACGTCTTGGCCTTGTTTGTGTAGGGGTATGATAAGGGAGTGTTTCCAGGCTTTTGGTATTTGACTGTTTATCCAAGCTGTATTATAAAGGTTTAGTAGTTGGTTTGTTAATGGTTTAGGGGCGTTTTTAGTATGATATAACTGGCATTGTCTTGACCTGGGGCAGTACCTTTTAATGGTTGATAACGTAAAGTTCCATTTCAGTAAAAAGTTTACTGTACATTAGATGCGTTTGGGGTTTTTGTATGTTGTAGGCGGCTGCGTTTTGAGATTTGATCTAATCGATAGCCAGTCCTAGAGGATGCGGTGGACCGATGACTATGAGCCAGATGAACTCTTCTGCTCACAGATGAAACATTGTACATGACTATTTCTTCAACTGTTTGTGTAGCAGACTGTTTGTGTATAGATGAAGGAGTGAATACTTCAGCTGCAGTTAGAATGCTAACTATATTTCAGGACTTTCGTCGCGTCTCTTGTTATTGCGGTCACTGCTGTGAAGCCGTCTATACACGTGCCTGCCTTGGGTCTCTTTCTCATACACACAGACACAGGGGGATCTCCTCACTTTGCCGCCACCTATTTATCACAATGTGTGATGCAGTCAAGCGTGATGATTGGCATAGCAATAGACGTCACTAGGCGTCATCTCAAAATGTTATTCAAATATCCACAACATCAAACATCAAACTGAATCACAAAATATCAATTTACATGCCTTTTCATTCAGTATCAATAAATGTTCGATACATAAACACAGGTATACTATTATTGTTTAAGATTTTATGGACAGGTCTGCAGTCCACCTTAACCTTGCCTTTTACTGCAAATTTGTCGATAGCGATCTTGGTGGGGTCAGGTTCATAATTGTGGATGTTGTTGACTGTTGTTATGAGGTCGTTGGCAGTGTTGATCGTGGCTGGACAAGGAGCCAAACAGCACTTCCAGTGTATGCTGGCGCTTCTAGTTCTCTTCACTATGTACTTGAAACCCTGATACAGAAAGCTTATGCCACCACGACTGTTTGGAATTATTTATATAGGTACAGAGAGAAAAACACAGTTAGGTACATATAAGAGAACCACACACACACACATACTGTCGTCTGTATACATGTTTAGCCGTAAGCAAATAATCTTGTTTATATTTCTATCGTTGCTTTATGTATCGCAATAAATAAAACCATGCAATATGTTGCCTGTAAATATAGTGTCATATTTTGTTTCGATGAAACCGATAAAGACGTATTCTCTTTCACATTGCAATTTTATGAACGAATATCAACTTTTGTTATCGATGTTGTTCCTTTCATTATTATTAAGCCAAACAAAAAATGAAACAATTCATGGAAACGTTTATGGTTGATATTGACTTAATCATATCACTGTGTTAATGGAAGAGAATTGAAATGTTTCTTTGTTACACGAAAGCATGAATGGTTTGTAGCCTCAATAAATATTTTTAAAACCCTGGAATATTATCGAATTTTATTTTCTCGTTGTCGTGAAATATTTGGGTTTTTCTTATACGATCAATAATCGAATACAAATTCATTTCGAATTAAAGTTGCGAGCAACATTGAGGGGCTCCTTGGCTTGGATAATTTCTAGCCATTTGGTACCTGTCATGCAGATGTCGAAAGCAGTGAAGGCTATAGCTGATATGGATCATATCACTGTCAGTAATAAGAAATACTTAAGTAGTAAACTTTGAATTCTTCTGTTTTTAGGGTTAGAAACAAAGGATTGTGTTGTATGGTATGGGTAATTGCACTTATGGCTTTGGAAACAGCTGTTGGCTTGATTAGAGATTCGAAGGAAAAGAATAATGCACGTTCAATTGCTAATAATTTATTTCTTTTTACTGAAAATGTGGTTGTTTATGGTGTTTATTTTCGGGTGAGTGTAGATACAATTTCCATTTAAATATCAACAACAGCCAAGTTGAAATGTGACACAAAGCGCCCGTACTCTGTATTTGTGTAGCATGTACCAATATCCACAACGCTGTTTCTCTCACGTTGAGCTTGGTTGACACATGTAATAGGTTCCCAATTGCACAGATCAATGTTCATGCTGATAATCACTGGATTGTCTGGTCCAGACTCGATTATTTACAGACTGCCGCCATATAGCTGGAACATTGCTGAGTGCAGCGTAAAACTAAATTCACTCATTCACTCATTCTCACGCTGATGCAAGCGAACTTGTGATTTCACAGCAATTAACGTACTTCTGTAGTTTGTATCAGTATCCATTACACTGTTACACTCAGGCTGTTGTAACTGAATTTGTGAATCGAGAGCGGGTTATATACACGTAACACGAATACACGTTACACCTGGATACAGGTTACCTATAGAGTTTTAAGATCCATGCAAACTGCACAAAACCCAAATGTTACGGAAAGCGCATTAGTCTGTGGGCATTGTAAAGCCGGCGAGCGGGCAGTGTTGAAAGATTGCATGGGTGCTTCCTTCAGCTAGCGTAGCTCAACTACCGCTAACACTCACAACTACATATATGTATCTAACCCACAAATGGTAATACTTTCAACATGCACCATAGAACAGAAAATGATCAGCAAACTTTTTGAGATACATACTGCAAATTTTCATTGTGCTCTCTAGAGGACCAATGAAGATAGCAACTACAGTGAGGAAAATAGAATTTCACTTGTCCCTCTGTTGTCTTTGAAGATACACTTAGACAAATTATTTCTTACTTCAGTATCGTCCAGCTTGTGTTTTAACCCGCTCACGGTGGACAGCTCTCGTCATTGTAAATTGAAATTGACATCGTCTCCCATATCTGCACGTACACCACGCTTTGCAGTGGTCGTCTCTTTATAGGAGATATCGTCCTTGCGCTTTCCCTTCAGACTGTCGCATATTTTCCACGGGTAATCTGCCATGTCGTAAATCTCCGAGAAACTTGTGACACATTCCAGTCATCACAAAGTCGGCGAGTGAGTGGATCTTTAGGATTTTCAGGGCTGCTTCTAACCACGAAACGGCTATACCTTTAACATGTATGTTAGAATAAAAAATGATCAGCAAACCATACACATATACACTGACAATTTGCATAGCCCTCAGTAGAAAAACAATCAAGATTAGCAGCTGTGGTGAGGAAAATAGAATATTATTTGTCCCTCCGTTGTCTTTGAAGCTATGTTGCTGCAACTGGTACAAACAACTTGCACTGGCGGTATAAATGCATATCCAAATTTTGGTCGAAATCGGACGGTTGGTTTCAGAGTTAGGGGTGTTTGAAACATATTTGAGGGCTTTAAACCGTCCAAAACAGAGCCAGAACACGTTTTTGACAGGTGAGCGGATCTTCCAAATACAGCCAAGGTCGCGGGGTCATGTACCTTTTAAGAAGTTCCGGAGAAGAAAGAGTTCCCTCTTTGACAGGCTGTAGCTCCGTTGTCCTTCACATGACATGCGGATGACCGGAAATGCCTACCCGTCAAAAACGTGAAATCCAATATGGTGGCCAAACGGTGCCTCGTAGCCCCATGGATCCTGCAGTTGAAATTGAAGGTAATCGGATTCCAGACCTGCTCCAGAAATTTGGTAGTCATCGGACTTGTAGTTTCGGAGATTATTGCTTTGGAAATTGGAAATTTTGAATTAATTTTGAATTATCTCCCCTTTGCTATTGGGCCTAGAGCCTTGACATTTTTGCAGAAACGACTTCACCACTGTCGGCACCATGGTAATTTTTA